ATAGTGGGAAGTCACCAGATTTCCCCCAAGCAGGGGAAAATGTCTCCGGGAAGGTGGGCACATGCAAGGGATGGTTCCTCAGAGCTTTGTGCCAGGGAGCTCAACCAAAAAAGATGTAAAAGAATTATCAGCACCTGGACATCAGCAGTGGTTTGACTCATTCATAGCAGCAGATTTCAACTTAACATCGAACATGATCAGGAGGAAAAAATGAGGGAGGCACCCATCATACAGTCTGTACCCAGGCTGGGGGACCACAGACAGACAAGCCCTAGTGCCTGCGTGGAAACAAAAGTCATGAATATGGTTGGAGGGAAGAAAATAACTCATCTTCCCAAGAGCGCAGGAACAGGAGCTTCTACACAGTCTTATATGGTGAATTATTGCCAAGGTGAATTGTCCCACTGGACTAGACACCTATCATGATAACTACTATGACAAATACTTAATCGTGGCCTTAGAAGTCACAGTAATAAAATCAAGGACAGTCTGGCTCGTAACAGGATAATATTACAGTACAGTTTTATAAAGTGCCCTTATTTATCCTTCTGTAAATTAATTCAAATGCATCAATAAAAATAGGTAACGGAACTTAATGAAATGAGAAACAGTTATATCTTTATATTTCCACAAAAGGATTCTTTTGAGCCCAGTACTAAAGATAAAGGTGATTGCAGAAGTGAATGTCAGAGGTGAAGTTTAACACTGCCTATGGTTTTGGGGATTTGTGCAATTGCTGTGTTGCCACAACAGGGCTGCAACAACAAAAGCAAATGCAAGGAAACAAAGAAAATCCAGGCAGTTGCCAGAATAAACTTGCTCAAACACTGTTGCTGCAGTTTCTCAATGAGCAGTTCTGCTCTTCTGAATATCTGCTGCTGGGAGACTGGTGAGTCTGGGAGTGATGGAAGACAAATCAGAAATCTATACTATATGCTTTAAAGTGGCACAAAGTTTGGAATTCCGTGTGCTTTGAGAAAGAAATGGAGATCAGCCGTATCTCCAGGAAGAAATGGAAAAAACCCTTATTTTCATGCTGAGTTTTCAACTCATTGCTGGACTTGTAGCATAGAAACAATTAGGCAAAAAAGCGGCATCTTGACAGAAATCTTTTCTGATTTTGATGTGAGGATCAACGTGATTATAAATAGCAGACAAAGACTATTCCCCAGGATGGGATTGTGAAATGTCTTACAACTTAACGGAGCCAAGAAGTGACTTGACCTTTCCTGGAAGCCTGTGACTCCCATAGATTTCAGTGGGGCTTTCATGTAGTCAGAGTATTGAAGACACAGATTTTACTTCAACAAACACAGTTTTTCAAAGACATACATTTCTTGTCAATTCAGGTGGAAAGAGCATGTCCCATAATATGGTTCAAATGGCTTGTCTCCTACCTATTTGAAGCATCTTCGTCTTTCTTACAATGCTGGTGCAGCCTTTGTCTTTTAAGGGAAGCAGTGAAGAAATAAATTCACTAGCAAAGTGCTCCATCTCTTCTGTAGTTTCAACGTTCAGTGTGCTTTAGTTTCAATGGACAGATGCCAACTTAGCTTCAGCAGTAAATGCAGAAAGCAAATGCATAAGCATGTACTTAATTAAGCATGCAATTAACTGAGTCTTTGCCTGGTCTGACACATGTGTGCCAGTGTCCTATCAGCAAGCCAATGGGCAAAGGATATTGGAGTTGCACAGACAAGGTGGTGATGGGGCTGGGGTTGGGGGCAGAGCAGCAAATGAGACGAATGTACAAAGAAATTTGTTTAGGAACTACACAGAAAACAGGTCACTATCCACTGTGCTTTTCCTTTAACTTTGCTAGCACTGTGAACAAATACGAAAGGTTTTCCAGACCCAAATTAGTGCATCCACACTCCTAGTCAAGGTAAAAAGAGACTGGCCAGTAACGAGCATGGTCTGCTGAAATGTGAGCCTTGTATTAGCTGAAGTGGCCAGCCCCTGGGTCATTTTCTGTTTGTTTAGTTAAGTAGCAACCCAGCCCCATGTGGAATGAGCAAATCAAGAAGTGCAAGCCAAGAGTGAGTTACATTTTCCCAGAGAAATGGAAAGCTTTTTGATGGTTAAATACAGTGCTGCACTGGAGTAACACTATATTAAATATTCCATCAGGCTAAAAGCAGAGGAGTATACCAAAACCAACATTTCTTCTTCTCCCACATCCACATTTAAATAGAGAAATACCATCACAATTATCTTTTGAAACATCCCTGAGTTACTGTATCTACAGAATTACTATTTTAAAATCAGTCTGCTATTCTAGTCCTATCAAAAGACCTAGATTTATTCTCCCTTATGTGGGTGGGGTCTCTCTAGCATCATTCCTTCCTCCCCTAGCCTCCATCCAAAGAAGCGTTCTTCAAAGGACAATCTGTCCCAAGTGGATAACTGTAAGCATATGCTAAGTCTTTGTTAATATGTAATTTTGTGGAGCTGCCGAGTCACATGTTGCTGGCATTCCTATTTGTTTCCAACTGCTAAACAGTTTCAAATGACAGCTAAAAGTGTATGGACCAGTTTTCTAAAGCTTCTTGCAAGGCAAGAAATCAGAGTCACTGCTCCTAAGAAACTGCTTCAGTGAAGAGGATGGAAAGTCATCTCTTAATGGGCAAGCCATGCTGTGAAGCCTCTCAAGAATACTGGGTATAAACCAGAGTAAACACTTTGTGTTATTCTTGGTTATAACTATGACTCAAACCACAGTAAATTTCACTCGATGTGAGCCAGCACCCTCAGAGTAGGTGACATTTTAGAGCACCTACGCACCATCCCAGGTACATTTCTGGCACGTAACCCAGTGGTAAAAATGTCTTCTAATGCAAATTGTGAGAAGCAGCAGCCAGCTCTATAGGTTAACTCTGGATATGCCAATACCAAGGACTACAGAAAAGAGAAGGCAACCTGACTACCACTTCTCTGAATATCCTACAATTTTATCCCTCACAAAAAATCCCAAAATCCTTAAGATGCTTCAGGAGGCCTCTGGAAAAGGTCTCCACCTCTAATACATGTTCGAGGCCAACAGAATTCACAGCGGTTCAATATTTGCTAAATTTTGCTTAGGATTATACCCCTGCCATGCAAATGAGGACAAAAATACAATGGCAAGAAAAATACTTCACAACGACAAATGGTTAAACGAGGGATACTCTGACAATGGACTTGATCTTGCATATTATTAATCATGCAAGTAGCCTTGGCTGGCTAAGATCCATGTGCATTTTTGGGGATATTTATATGAATGCAGATGAGCAAAAGCGTATTGTGTTTATATTTTAATAGCTTCTACATAGTGAAATACCACTCTACGGTTAAAAAACATTATTCCTGTTTAAACCCATGACAGGTCTGAGCATAGACACTGAATGGCCTATTTCCGTAAACGTTTCAACTCTGTTTTCTACCATTTTTAAGTTCATGCTCAAGTTCTGATTCTTTCTGACAACCTCTGAGAGCTCGCCCCAAAATTGCACAAAACTTGTTCTGTGGGTAGAGCCCCCCAAGGCCACGTGGCTCAGCTTTGCTACAGAACATTGCTGATAGTATAATGGCATTTATCAGTGTCTTAAAATTGCTGAGTATTAACAAGCACCTTTAAAAACATTTCACAGGGTGATTATGGTGACTGTAATTTCTTCTGACTGGATGAATCAACTATACTATGTTGACAAACACCACCTCGTTAATTCAGATGCCATGTGCTCTAAAAACATTTCCCTGACATTAGAGAGTTACATGTTACTCTGAAAAAGAGAGATGTATATTCAATGTACTGGACTAAATCCTGAAATTCTGCTTTATTCTTCATTCAGTCCTAACCCTGGCCAAATTTTATTAAACTTATATGGAATTTGCCTTAGCAATGAATTCAGGATTTAGCCATTCTCTGAAATACAACACATACTTGAAAGATGGCTTTCAGTTCATACCAGATGTCACTGATGATCACATTCAAAACTTCTCAGTTTCTTAGAGTAATGGATTCAGAATTTGCTTATAGCTCATTATCAAGTACCCAATCATGACATCCGTGAGCAGTCTTAGTAGTACCTTACTTGACTAGTCCTGTCCACATGAGAAATCCCTCTGGTATCAGTGGAGTAGAGTGAATAGTAAGGTGCTACCTGCTTTGTTTAAAAATGGAGTAACTGAGCCCATGATATTCTGGATTTTGTACATCAGGCATAGATTTAGTAAAGGAACTACCACCCCTTGTATTATATGATGCATTGTGGTCACAAAGCAGCACAGCCTCATCATAAAATAAAGGCTGCACCTGCCCTGGGACAGCTGATAAAAACCACATCACGTGCATATACCAATCTAAGGTCTTGTCTTGATGCTAAGTATTAGTTGTACTGATCTAACAAAATGTCTGTGACAATTCATTGACTTCTACACATTGATCTTGCCCCTGGATCTAAGCTCAGTTTGAAGTACAACTAGACATAAAAATACAGTGCTTGTTATTATTAAAACAGAAATCTTTATGGAGATTTTCGAAAGATATTTTAGCCATACAGTGCTAAATAGATCAGGTACGCCACAAGAGTCACCAAAACACTTGGAAGGCTTACGTGGTGTTGTGTTTCTGCTGTATGTGTGACCCTGAGTCCCTATAGTGAACTGTACTGGCACTTCGATCTTCCCATTTTGCAGCATTTACATTCTCCGTGTCTTGAACGAAAGGGGAGGCGGGTGAGAGCACATTGCACTGCATGGAGTGTTCTCCAGCTGCATCATCCGAACAGCAACTCAAGGGAGACAGATGGTTACGGATCATTGCTTGGCAAAGACACTACAATGACCTGATGAGATCTTTGCTAAGTTTCAGTTAAGAAATTAAGTAAGCTGAAACTGTAGATGTTAAATAGGAAAAAAAAAAACCAAAACCAAAAAAGAGAAATCTTCTTGAATCATGGTATCTTTTGCCAGAAGATAGCTTCAGGGCTTATTAAAGATGGATCTAGGAATCTCTTCCCTTAGTTTTCACGTTTCCAAGGCTCTTCTTCGACAATACTGAAGTCTGCAGATTTGCCATTGGTTGCCAGTGTTACCTGCAAGTAATTATCATCAACAACCGACTTAAAGGCCAAGGCACTTTGACAAGTCATGAGTTTTACATGGAAGATCACAATATTTACAGGAATTACATACACCATGACTTATTAGATATGTAAAATGTATTTATTCAGAATTCACAATACTCCCAAATAGTGAAACTCCTGTTCATTTATCACACTGACTAGAAAACATTATTAGTAGAAAAGAAGTTCCACATTTTCTTAGCCTTTGCTGTAGGGTTTTGTTTTGTTTGCTTTGTTTTCTTTCAGTAAATGCTTCAGATTCTACATCTTTCTATTTCCTACACTTTTCTCTAGCTTATTTCAAAAACAGATCACGTTTTTCTTTTTTCTTTTTTTTTTTTTTATGTAGAAAGCCATATTTTTTGCAGTGGAATTTGTTAGCAAAGCAGAGTAGCTGATGCAGGGACATGAAAAATATGCAAGGCCAGAACAATCATAGAAACTCACCTATAATTACATCACCTTTAAAGAAATTAAGGAAAAGATGTGCTGTAAAAGCATTGTTCATCATACCATTCTTTCAACAATGTAGTGAAAGACCTTAAATATAGTCAGACCAAAAATTTATGGTAATGCTATGTTTGTCTTACCCAAAATACAGCAAAACATCACTCTTGCTGTGAAGATATCTGCTAATTTTTTTAGGTTTTAAGTATGGTAGAAGACCTACAGTGATCTAACAACTCACCGTATACACTGGCCAGTATGCCCCCGAAATAACTATAAATAAACCCATGCTTCAAGAAAGATAGCTCCAGCCATATGGCTTTAAAGTTCTAAAAAGATAAAATATCAATTTAATTTTACAAAAGTGATCTAGATCTTTATAATTGTGAGAGAACCTTTCATTTAATTCTAAATGGATGTCTCTCTCTTTCCTAACTTACCTTGTATGTTAACATCCTCAGCTTTAAATGAAAACGTAAAGACAGAGCTGAAATTCCCCATGCTGGACAAACTGGATGCATGGAAGCATTGGGATACGGAAGCATGACAAAATGCACTAATTTTTGAAACAAAGTCAAGCTTTTTCTTAGATAATTGAAAGGGGGAAACATGCAAATACAGGAACGAACAGCTTATTCAGAAATGAAAATCACACAGAGTCATGTGAAATATGGTCATAAAAAAAAATACAAAAATATCGTGCAATAACAGCCACTCTAGCCCCATATAAAGGTAAACTACTTGTTAGTAATATACATTGACCATGCAAAATTATAAGCTACTAGCATTATACATGGAATATATTACAGAAAGTAAATAGAAAGAACATGCTAGTAGATTAGCTTTCCCAAATTCCGAGCAGAGTTGCAGTAAGCTTTTCAACCCACCAGTGCATTTGACAGAATGAAGAGATGTCTCTTCAGATTTAACTGCTGACTGTTTTGAAGCACCAAATCCTACAGTCTATTGCCTTTGCCACCTTAACACTTGGGAGCTGTAGACCACTCTGACATGATCCAAATGCCTTGCAAATGCCAGTATATATTCTATTCATAGCTTATAAAGCAGACCATAACATCACATCCTTTTGGTAGCGCGCAGACAGACACACAGACAAGACAAGTGATATCCTGAAAGTCAGTCTTGTGCTCAATCCAGTAAACCCTGGCTCTTTTCATGAGTTTAAAAGTGCAAAATGAGACTACACTCAGAGCAAACCTAAAACAATGAAAAAGGACAAATACCTTCAGCTCATTAATCACTGGTCCCAGATTTTAATTAAAGGATGACCTATCACACCATTAATCCAAGTTTTTGAGGTAAGCTACTACCTCAACTGATGGAAATGAAATGAGAAACTGAAGGAGGAAAGAAAGTGCAGCAAGTATTGCATCAACGGGCTACTACTTTCTAGCTTGACTTTTGTCTCTGTGCAAATCTGAGTGGAAGGAGATAAAATTATCAGTATTCAGTTCCATGAACCCGATTCCAACTGATATAGAATAGCATAATTTGTATTAAATCCACTGAAATTAGCACAGTCTATTTCACTGAAAAATAGTTTTCAAAAAGTTCCCAAGGAACTGATTTTTACGAAAAAAATCTTTTATCAAATGAGATCTCTTTTCAGTGAGTTTCTTTTTTCCTTCAAATTTTTCTTTCTTCTGTGCCTGTTCCTTTTTTGAGAAATATACATTATTATTTAAGGTTTTTGTAAGCATTTATTCTCTTTCCATTTCAAAATTCTTTTTCTTTATTTTTTTTTTTTTTTACAGAAAAAGAGTGGGTGACAAGAGGAAGGGAGAGCCACAGCAGATCAAAATGTTTGTTTGAATTTTAAAAACTAATTTTACTAAAAAACTTGGAAGATTTGGAAAAAATAAGATGAAATGGTTTTATTTCCTGAATTCCTGTATTAAATTTCCCCCTGAAAATTCAGGTTTGGTCTGTCATTATCTCAAAGTAAGCATTAGGAAAAAATGTTCTGAAAAACATTTCCGTCCAGGCTGGAGACAGGTGAAAGTGATAGAACAGCAATGACATTTCCAACACATACGGTGATCTTCTAATGGACCTAGTGTAGGCATTCATAGATACTGGCTCAGTTGTGGCAATTGGAAGATGCAAGAGATCTGTCTGAATAAATGGTTGAGGTAGGTTCACTGGCAAATTCACCATGTCAAAAACAGTGTACAGGACCAGATCCGAGTGCTAATAAATAGTGGAAAAAATCCCCCCTATGAAATTAAGATTTCCGCTTTGTTTTACTCTCTTTCTCACCCTTTTCAAAAACTTGATTTTAAATTGCCCAGTCCTACTGGTGCGTGCTTAGTTAATTGTAAACCACTAACCTCCCCAACTGTTTTCTCATTCAACTGGTGGGGTTTATCAAGCTCACTTCCCTCTGATTAAGATGTTATTATTACTACTAATAACCCATGTTAGTTACAGCAAGGATTAGAGAGAGAATACAACGTTTGTGACTTAATGACTCAGGAATGATGACGAAAGCAAAGCGTAAGCATGCTGTATGAGTGCAGGAGCATTCTGATGCTAAAGTGCATTCAACATGTCCATCTCTGAACAGCATATCATGAAGGCAGTCAGCAAATGACAACACCTGTATCTGAATTGCAGCTATCCTTCATTTGGGTTGGCAATTAAGTTCTCTGTTGCCATAGAAAATTAAGTAAATGTCCATAGAAGGTGATGCCATATTCTCTGTGTCTTGGCATATTCCATAATACGTTGCATCTTGCCTTTTGATATGTAAACAATGTACATGATTTTTTCCCCTCAAATGACAACTTTCAAGAGGAGTGCAAAAAGCCGTCTTTTAAACTGCTCAAATTCATTCAAAATGTCGAGTTCATGGACCTTGTTGTCACATTGTTATTTGCAGAACAATTTGAAAAATACATGCAGGTTAAAAAATAAGATAAAGCATGCAAGTGCTATATACATGTCTCAATATCCATAAATGTGAAAGGTACCTTGCACTCATCTACTATGACTGAATTGTGAGCTGCAAAAACACATTGGTTTGAGTTGTTTTCCCTATGATTTTTCATGTCGTCATAGATTGACTGAGTCTTGGTCATTTCAATGTCTTCGTGACCTTTATGGTGGGAATCAATGGTGTCAAGTTCTGCCTTGGAAAGGTGGTAGACAATGCCAGCACCAAAAGAATCCCCCACTACATTGACTGACGTTCTCATCCGGTCCCTACAAAAAAAGCAAAAGGCAGAGACTGAATGGCATGAGAGGAAGAAAAAGTAGGGCATGGCAGCCCTGTTCATGTTACAGTTACTGCATTTATTCCAGAAAGTTTAAGACATCTTTAGAACAGAAAGATGGGAGTTTTTCAAGCTTGTTTTCCCAGAGGACTTGTTCAGATGGAGGATGTGCAAACTCCCATGTCCCAGCTGCTCGTACTCATGGATTTTGGCAAACGACTTGTGCTAGAGACACAGCCAAACTGCAGAGCTGTGCTTGACAGATTTCTCCAGCTTCTGGAGCTGGAGTTTTCAGTGTCAGGGTGCCAGGCTCACATCACTGCCCTTTGTTTAATCAGAACTTTTCAGAGCACTGAGCTTAATGTAGCCAAGAGGAAAGGATTTTGGATCCTGTACACTTCAACAGTGTTCTCATTTCTGGGACAGATTAACAAATGGCCTCTCCCTTTATTCTCAGTGAGCAAGCTACAAGTTAAAAAATACCTGAAATATCTCCATGAAGCTCAGGCCATCAAAGCTCCTCTTCTGGCACTATCTTTGCAGATGATCATCTGGTAGTGTGGCAGCATGCCCACTCATGCTACCATATGCTCGGCGTATAAGACAACCAGATATGGGTCAAGGCCTACAAAACGATGAGCCTGTGACAAGTAACGAGTGCCCTTTGTTGTACGAGGATGCCAACAGAGGCTCCCATGCTTCATTACAAAGAAATGTATTTGTTGGCACTTCCTGGACAGGATGCCATTAGACAGACACACCGTCTTTCTCCTGACTTCTTTTTAGAGTGTGGCTCTATCTGTCAGCAGTGGATTTTCCCTGATCTCACAATTCTGCCTCAAACCTGCCCCAAATTCTGCAAAAATGATCCTGCAGAGCACTGCAGGACTATGGGCTCCTGCTATCTTTCCTACTGCCCATGTATTGCACATACTGAAATAATTCACAATCTAATTTCATGTCTGAACTAAACATAAGACTCCTAAAAAAATTCTGACTGAGGTTTCAATTTTGAGCTACTGCAGCAAGTAAAACTAAAATTCTGACTGAGGTTTCAATTTTGAGCTACTGCAGCAAGTAAAACTACTCTACATCTAGCTGTTTCAAATAGGTCAGGGAAGCAATTACACTGATTAATTCTCAGAGGTATGTCCATGAAGACTCATTTACACAAACGGGCAGGTTGGACAGTGCAGACATTTGCCAAGTGTCAGAACACCCAAAATTTAAGATCTCATTTCCCAAGACAGTGATTAATTAGTAAACACCCTTTCTGACATTTCTGGTACTAGCTTTGTGTGACATCTCATTTTCCTGTAGAACACCAAGGGAAAAGACCTAAAAATAGAAACCCCAAACTGATAAACATTAGTTACACATGCCTATTTATGGCCATACAAAATTTTGAGCCCTTTTTAACACTTTTGCTCTAAGTATCTGTAAATCTGCCCTTTCCAGCTGTGGAACTGCATTCCCCTTTAAGTTTCTCCTTTCCCTCTCTCCATTGTCATGCTTACATATTTGAAGTTTGTGGTGTAATATCTTAGTTGAAGCACTTCCTTTATATGTTTTTGTTATCAAAAGAATACCCAGAAGGAAAAAACTCCTTTAAGAATTCTCCCAAAACCCAAACAAGCCCAAGAACCCATAGGAGGAAATCATCCTTCCAGTTTGGCTTCAAACAGATGAAATGCTTTACACCACTTTTGTTCCATGCCTGTAAAGGATGCTTTAAACCTGGTCAGAGTGGCAGAAGAGGAAAAGATGAATTTCTGAGTATAATTTTGAGTTAAGACCATCAAATATACGGGACCTAGCAATACAGTTCCACAAAAAGAAAACTTGCTTAATTTTTGGTTTTGTGTGAGTATTATTAAACGTTGAAAGGATTCACGTATGCCACACGATGGAGGGATAGTACAGGATGTCAAAAAACCAAGGTGAACAGAACATATAATTGAAGCATGATACAAATTCTGAAAGGGTCATTTAAGGAGATGCTCCAGCCCCTGTGTGTGTACTACTAGCCAAGTGGTTCAGTGCTACAAACTGCCCACATTGCAGAACATGCCATACTGTGTGAAACACAGCAAACAAGTAAGTTCTTTACAGAACAGAAAGGACAAAGTCTCGGCTGTCAGGAATCAACAGCAAAGTGCCGTTAACCTCTTTTTGGGCCAAAGAACACCCTAAGAAGAACAAAGAAAACTGTATGTACTCATTGGTTAAAAAAACCCACCCAATTAATTCCAGTTACGCTGGAACACTGTAAACAAAATCAACACAGGAAAGTTGTAGTCTAGTAAATGACTTGCTACTTCTGTATTGTCTATAGCAGCTCCTGAGAGGAATAATGGGACTGAAAGTCAAAGTTCTCTCTCAAAAGCCAACTCAACATCTGGTAAGAATGGGTTTTGGAATAATCCTTAAATCTTGGTAAGATTTAATACCCAATTTCCTTAAACTGGCATAAATTAGAAGAACTGGAAGCTTAACAACGTCGATGAAAGGGATAAAAATGAGAACAACTGAACCAAGCTGCCTTGTTATTAATGTAATAGTGCCTATATAGCATGCTAGTTGCAAAAAAGTTATTCCTGTTCCCGGAAAGCTTGAACACCCAGTATATTAACCTTACTAGATTTTGGAAAGGGGATGAAAATCTTAGCTAATTCAAAGACTAGGTGGCATGTTTAACTTGCCTTACCTCTCTTTCATTGTAGGAAAGAGCTCCTGTTTTCTATAGTTTAATTCAATTTATATAAGGCCCTATCTATAACATCCAGATGTCAACTGTTTCTGAATATTCTAAATTTAGATCTAAGCCAAGGAACAGACTCAGAAGTCAAGCAGTCTATTTCTGAGATACTGAATGAAGGTTTAAACAGTGGATCAGCTGTTCAAGCCCATTTCTCTAATTCCTCTCTTCACTGCAAAATCCCACTGTATTTGAGTTTGTGCTGTGATATTTTCTGAGCTTGTCAGTCTTACAGCTGGAAAGTAGCCAGCTTCTGGCTAGAGCAAAAGAAGCTGGTTTTATTCCGGCTGTTGGCATGTCTTTACAGTCCTATTAAATGTCACTGCTGTGTGGTGCTTAGTTTTAAACTGAGAAATTATGAGAGTTGTGAAATCCTGGGAAACTTGCCTGGTGAAAGAGCTCACACTGTGCATATATGCATGGGAAGGGGAAAGGTTGAGCAACTTAACCTCCAGATATTGGAGTGACTTGAGAGAAATTGATACGCAAACTGTTTGGCTCAAATTTGAAGGAGAGAGTGCCAAGCTTAAGGACAATCAACAGTCAGCTTTGTGTTACACCATGACTAAATCATGCGAAACTGGTTTTGGTAAGACCACAGTTTCAGGTGATGGTAGTACTGTAAAATCACTTGATGTTCTGACACTTTCTTTCATTTTTTAAAAGCTCTCATTATCTGGAACTCAAATGTTACAGAAGATTTCTACATGGCTGTTTGCGTTTGCACACTGGTTCCAGATGAGTGGGTGAAATTGGTTCTTAAGAATTTTATTAAGTTTCTCTTCTACATTCTGTTAGAAATACTGCTGTAATGCTATTTGATGGTCTACAGAAATGGAAGAAGACAATGTTTGTAAGCATAGAAAATATCTTTTTATAACCTTTCACTTCAGATTGGTTTAGGTATGGTTTATGTGCCTGAAAGCTTGCTCAAAAGTTGGCTTGCCTTTCTTAATATAGTGACGTCAGTAACATTGTTTTTCATATCTCATTAGATTATTGTGGCTATCACACAACCACTAGAAGATGGAAAATAAACCTATTAGCTGTTGAACAAGTGCTAATTGGCACAACACTTCCACCAACAAACTCTGTCTTAACTTCAGAGCACTAGTGGTATGACACAGAACTTGTGATCTTTCTCATATCCTTTCCCTTTTCCCTACACCTTTCAATTCTAAATCATGCTGCAACTGCACTGCCAATCATTAGGTCAGGAGGACCCAACCGTTTGTGCTGAAAGGTTCTTCCTATACTTAGATTCATCACTGCTACAGCTCCACAGCCTTGTCATGGGCTTCATCAGCAGCAACGTGAGCAGCAGGACAAGGGAGAGGATTCTCACCCTCTACTCCACTTTGGTGAGACCCCCCCCAGCAGTGCTGTGTCCAGCTGTGAAGCAACAGTACAAGAGGGTCATGGAGCTATTGGAGCAAGTCCACAGGACACTACAAAGATATTCCAAGGGCTGGAGCAGCTCTGCTGTGAAGACAGGCTGAGAGAGTTGGGCTTGTTCAGCCTGGAGAAGAGGAGGCTTCGGGGAGATCTTAGAGCAGCCTCCAGTGCCTAAAGGGCCTTCCAATACCTGAAGGGGGCCTACAATAAATCTGGAGAGGGGCTTTTGACAAGGTCCTGTAGTGACAGGACAAGGGGGAATGGCTTTAGGCTGACAAAGGGGAGATTTGGATGAGATATCAGGAGGAGGTTCTTCCCTGTGAGGGTGCTGAGGCGCTGGCACAAGTTGCCCAGAGAAGCTGTGGCTGCCCCATCCCTGGCAGTGTTCAAGGCCAGGTTGGACACATGGGGTTTGGAGCAACCTGGTCTAATGGAAGGTGTCCCTGCCTGTGGCAGAGGGTTGGAACTGGATGAGCTTTAAGGTCCCTTCCAACCCAGACCATTCTATAATTCTATTATTTCGTAAACAGGGTTAGATGAGTCAGTGGTAACAATGCTGCTGAAGCCGAGCCTGAAATGCAACACCTACTAGTGGATTAGAACTGCTGGTAAACTTACAACTCTGAGGTTTGCTAGTGTGGGCAGAGCTTCTCAGTCCCCAGGAATATTTTTAAATGACATTTCCCTAAAAAAACCAAACAAACCACATGCTCCTTTTGCACATCCTCCTACCAGCTGCAGAGACCTACCTATTTATCCTTAACTTTGAGAGCCAGCAAAACATATATTCAAAGTGATTGTGCACCTCCTCCTCCCAGCTGTAGATTCCTATGCCACTTTCCCATTTTCAACGATGACCTCATAATCACAGAATATCACATTTTTCCCTACGGCAGCTATACTGACTGCC